AAAGAAATTTAGAGGGATTATTAGATCTTTACTTTACTTGACTGCTAGCCGACCAGATATTATGTTCAGTATTTGCTTATGTGCTAGATTTCAATCAGATCCAAAAGAATCACATTTGACAATGTTAAAATAGTTGCTATTTGCATGTTTTACATTTTTGCAACTTGTATAGTTTTGATGATTCCAAACATTATTGTTCAAATGTGTAGTTATCTCCTAACAATTTTAGAAGATTTGTATTTGCTCTTGGGTGTACTAACATTTCAGGAAAATTGAACTCCAGATTACGAAGACTTCAAATCAAAATACAACATGAGATACTTTGTGTATTTGAAGCTTGTACTTTTCTTTGAAATACTTGAAAGGGAGTGATTGTAATTGAGTTAATAAAAATATACACATACACATAAGGAGATCATATAAAATTTATACTGATCGTACGGGTTGATATCAGTTCGTACGGAACGATCAAATAGTTATCTTCGATTAAGATCACATGGAATGAATAGGAACTAGCCAGAAAAATTTTCTAAGTCCTATTCGTCCAGGACAAAATTAAATATCGTCCAGGAAGATTTGTTCTATGTAAAATTTTTGTCCAGACAAAATTAAATTATCATACATGACGAGTTTCTCTCTGTAAAATTTTCGTCCAGACAAAATTAAAATCGTCCATGATGATCTGGTCTCTGTAAGATTTTCGTCCAGACGAAATTAAATTATCGTACATGACGAGTTGCTCTCTATAAGATTTTCATCCAAACAAAATTAAATATCGTCCAGGACGATCTGGTCTCTGTAAAAATTTTGTCCAGACGAAGCAATTTTCGTCTAGACGATACAACTGACGTAGAACGGTTTTTTGTATTTTTTGGAGCCGACCTTGTAATAACCGTTCGTACCGGATGAACTTCGTTCGTACGGGATGATCAGCTTGTACGAAAACATTTCGTACACATATACAAACAGGTTCGTTTCAATGCTTTTAAATAACATCGTCAAGGATGATCCACAATCGTACAGGACGATCTACTGCGTACAGAATTGAAAACTTATAGTTTTTGGGCGGTTTTTCTTGTCTTTTATAAATATAGTCCAAATTAGACTGCCATCCAATCTTTTTGTCATTTGATCTTCGTGCCTTTTGAGAGAATAGCCAAGGTGAGAGTGTAAGAGTGCATTCAAAGGAGGATTCCTACCACTGGAGCGTGAAGGCTTCACTTGGAGTTAAAAGGTAAGAATCTCTACTTTTGAATTGTGATTACTTCACTCTTTTCTTTCTTCCTTCTAGATTCTTGTGAGAAGATCTTTCAAGGAGATCTGGTTCGCTGCCGACACTTGGAGAGTGTGAACAGCCGAAGGGTTCGCTGGCTACACTTGGAGAGTGTGAATAGCCGAATGGTTCTCTGCCCACACTAGGAGAGTGTGAAAGGATGAAGGGTTCTCTGCCCACACTAGAAGAGTGTGAAAGAACGAAGGGTTCTCTGCTTACACTAGGAGAGTGTGAAAGGATGAAGGGTTCTCTGCCCACATTAGGAGAGTGTGAAAGGACGGACGATTCTCTGCCAACACTTGGGATTGTGTAAAAGGACAACGGTTCTCTACCACACCGGGTAGTGGTGAAAAAAGTGTTTTGTAAAGGGTTCTCCGCCTTACTGTGTGTACAAAATGAGAGTCACTATTGGTATTAGTGCAATACTCAGAGGGTACCTCTAGGGAGTGGATGTAGGTCTGGTTTAGACCGAACCACTATAAATCTGGTGTCATTTACTTTATTGTTTTTACTTTTCCACATTTTATTTTTGGTTTAAAAGATCTGTGGTTGAAAAATGTTTTCTATAAAAACTTAATAAAAAATTTTATTTCGGTTCAACACATTTTTAAAGAGGGTTTAAATTTTTTAAACTACCAATTCACCCCCCCCTCCTCTTGGTAGCCTTGGGACATTAACTTAGGTCTAACAACCTATTTACTAGACTCAACAGGTGGTATCAGAGCTTTATTTCAAGATCATAAGTTTAAACTACTTTTGTATTAACGTAGATGGCTTCATTAGGAAACTGAAACACACCTGAAGGTTACTCTATAACTAGACCTCCACTGTTTGACAATATACCCTTTGATTTTTATAAAACACGCATGTCTACTTTCTTACACTCACTTGATTATCGTATGTGGATCCTAGTCCATGAAGGTTACACAAAACTAGCTAGATTACTTGATGGAGTTAGAGTAGAAATATCTTTTGCAGATTGGACTTTAGAAGAACGTGACTTAGCACAACTAAATGCCAAATGTTTAAATAGCTTCTATTGTGCTTTAAAATCTAAAGACTACATGCGGGTTTCTACTTGCAAAAGTGGAAAGGACATATGGGATAGACTTTGTATAACTTATGAAGGGACTAATGAGGTTAAGCAATCAAGACTCAATATCTTGTTATATGACTATGAATTGTTTTGCATGAAACCAAATGAATCTATTTCTAACATGTACACAAGATTCACACAAATTGTCACTTCTTTGCAGCACTTATAGGTAGGGAGTGTATCTAAATGCGATAATGGTTAATAAGATTCTTCGTTGATTTCGCTTACAGCTTTTATGATGCTAAAATACTGAGGTGTAAATTGACAGAATGTTTCATAAGTAGATCTGAAACATTTTGCGCTCTATTTGTCATCTATTATCGACCATGCTTATGAGTCACGGAGTAAGCAAAGATAAGATTGATTGCAGTGTGTATGCATGCTATAGTAAGTTGAATGTAGCTTAATATTGCACTAAAAAATGAAGGTACAGAGAGTGAACACTCACATCCTGGTGAGGTATTGATAGTGACTCGATATATTGCAGTTGGGCATGCACTAGATAATTTCAGTAAGCTTTTTAACAGCGGAAGCAGAAGAGACGCCAACAATGGGAGAAGCGTAGAGGCTCAAGTTTTTATATAGATAATGTGTCGAAGGTTCTGCTTTAAGGAAGTGATTTTGTTATGAATGCAAGAAACCAGGTCACTTATCAGACTGAATTGCAGCCAAAAATCAAAGCCATCCTAAGCAAGAGAATGTAGAGGAGAAAGGCACATTATAACAGAATGTGAAGAGAGAAAGAGTTTTTCAAGAACAAGTGCTTTAATGGGCACTCAAGCTTCAGACTCACCTACTGAGACTGAAACAATAAGAAGAAGTCACCAACCTTATGCTGTGATGTTAGACAAGATGCTGATCAATCAGGATCAAGAAATAGCTATGGCCAGACACTATAGGAAAATGAAAAACCGACTAGTATGCTAGATTTAAGTATTAAACTGGAAGAGGACTTAAAAAAGGTGATATCGAAATCCTAGTGGAACAGGATCAATTGGACCTCTAATAGATAACAAACCAACTATGAAACTTCTGACAAATATTTAGGATGATCATTGAATAATGAATTTTTTTTGAGATTGATAGAAATTATCATCCTATGCTGATGTTGAAAAAAATTTTTTAAAAAATTTAATGATGGAACTGAGAGGAAAAATTATAACGAGATTGCAGTTATACAAAATCGAGAATTTGGAAGAAAATGAATTCCTTTTATAAATTGACAATAAGAGACTCTTGAGGGATTAATAGTGGTTATTACCCCCCCAAACATGAAGACATATACAAACTCTCGAATCTAGTTACTTTCCAAATATATGGAATCCCATAGAAAGACAAACAAATGGAAGAAAAAATTAGAATACTTTTCCTCAATTTAAATGTAATAATTTTGGATATTTGAGGGAGACATATAGCTCACACTCCTTTGATTCTTTTTGAAGACGTAAACAAAACTATAATTTGATATATTGTAGATGACTTTAAGATGCATTTAAATCCTTCTAGATCATAGTAACAAACATGCTCTAGATTTTATAAATTGTTTAAATGTTAACCCTATATTAATATTATTTGTGTTCCGCAGGATCTAACACTTGATATTTTTTGCAGGACTTTCTTCACTACACAGAGACCTCATGAGAACATAATAGGGTCACCTGAGACAGCGGTTGTGTTACAAAGCATATGACTGGAGGATATTGCTCAAGATTCCAATAATTTACTATGGAAATCCATTTAGGAGTGGAGTGCTAAGGTTACACTTTGACTGATGAATACCACAAAAGAATTAGTAGAGTATAGATCAGAGATAATATGCGATTGCGGCAATTTTAGAAAACCTTTTTCATAGACAAATATTGTATTGGTTGAAGGCGTTTTACAGCATAATTTGTTAATTATAAGTCAGCTATGTGATAAGGGCTATAAATGTTAAAATTATTACCACTAGCTGCATTTATTTTTTAGTCCTAAATGTGAGAATTAATGGTGCTTATAAATTGGAAATGTAAGTTGGGCAGAGCTTAAATCAAATGTTACTCTAACACATGCCTCGGAATTTAAAGTATTCAATCTCACATATCGTGCTTTTTATGTGTTTGAAAATTGGTATCCTGATTAAATGAAATACGCATCGGACTTAGGCCAATAGAGATGACTATGCTACATTCTTAGCTATTGAAAAACCTTAGGAGAATTATCCAAAAGAACTTAGTGAGAGGTATACCAAAACTAGACTTTACTAAGGACCAGCTTTGTGATGCATGTCAATTAGAAAAACAAGTGAAGTCCTCTTTTAAGTCTAATAAGGATCTTAGAACTAGTAAATCATTGGAAATTCTTCACATGGATCTTTTTGGACCTGTAGGAACTGTAAGTCTTGGAGGGAAGGTCTACGGATTTGTTATAGTGGATGATTTTTCAAGATTCACTTGGGTGCAAATATGGAGGCAGGGAATGAAAATATTCAAGTAACGGAGGAAGAAGCAAATCTGAAGATCATAAACAAAAAAGTGAATGCTCTAAACAAAAGAAATGAACGGGAATTAAAATCAGTTCAAGGTGAAAATGTGGTGGAGATTCAAGACATCATGATAATGGAAAATCCTGAAATCTTTTCAGGAAAAAATTCGGTTTCAATGGACGGTATTACATTACCAGATCACAAAATAACTATGGAGGGTTGCCTGCGAACTCTAGTAATTCAGGAAGAATTACCAGCGAACTCAGGTATTCCCATTTCTTACGATAATAGCATGAAGAAGGTTGAAGCTCTCACTGAACAGAGAGATCTTGATGGAAATGTCAATGTTGAGTCTCCCAGTAAAAATCTGCTGCTGTCTGGTAACAAGTTTAACTTATTAAACTCTATAGGGGATAAGAACATTGATGTGGAAGTTATAGCTGAATCTATAGAAGAGGAATTGGAAGAAGAAGTTTTGGTAAACACGGGAGACTGTAAAATCTTGAAAAAGGAAACACGGGACAAGTATGAAGCGGTAAAGGGATCTGATAACTTGGTTGAAAATTTGAGCTCTCAAAAGGCTGAGAAAAACTCTTCTCAGAAAGCCAAACTTTCTAAGGAACTCAGGCATTTGGGTCCTTTGAATTCAAATACAAGACTTGGGAGAAATAATTTAAATAGATGAACGGATGGGGGATTACCCCCATTTGTTAACAAATGAATTTCATTAGCTCTTGGAATTGCAGGGGAGCCAACAAGAGAGAGGCCTCCCTATACTTGAAGGAGTACATCAAAAAATGGGATGTGTTTTTTGTGGGTATCATTGAAACGAAAATTGATTATCTTTCCAAAGATGATTTTGTGAAAATCATGGGAGATGACTGGAATTTTTTCCTGCATCCATCTAGAGGGAACTCTGGCGGAATCATGGTGATTTGGAATACAAAAGTGGCTTCATTTTCTGTTACAATTTCTTCTGATCAGTGTGTGATGGGGGAATTAGATATCTTCAACAAAAGCAAATGGATGGTGGCTACTATTTATGGAAGTAGGGAATTTCAAGGAAGAAGGGAACTTTGGAGGTCTATGGATGGCATGGTTGAAAAAGATACCCCTACTGTTATTGAAGGTGACTTCAATTGCATACTTTCTCAAGAGGAAAAGAAAGGGGGTAAGAAATTCTCTTTCTCCGATGGACCGATGGAAATGAAGGCGTTTATGAACAATAATGATCTTCATGATGTTGGCACAATTGGGGCTAAATTTACTTGGTGTAATAACAAGAAGGGAAGTGCGCGAATCCTAGAGAAACTGGATATATGTTTGCTGAATTCTAAAGCTCTGGAGTTGATCTTTATACCTTCTGTAAGGCATCTGGAAGGAATTGCATCTGTTCATTGCCCCATCGTGTTGAAGTTGTTTAATCAACATGTTCAAAAACCAAGATTTCGAAAGTTTGAGGATATTTGGCTCTCTTATGCAGCGTCTACTGCAGTGGTAAAAAAGTATTGGGATAAACCTGTAAAAGGAGACGATATGGAAGCTGTGAATAAGAAGATGGCTAGAGTTCTTAAAGCCTTATTTTTTTGGAGCAAGGCTAAACACTAAAAACTGGAAGATTTTAAAGAAACTTTGAGAAAAGAGATTGAAGAACTGCAGCAGGAGGAAGCCTCGGAAGACCTTTTCTCGGACAGCAAAGCTCTACTTCTTATTTCCAAAGTCAGGGAATTCAATTGCACTCGTGCTAGATTGAGTACATTGTGGAAACAAAGGGCCAAAGCCAAGTGGATGAAGGAAGGTGATGTAAACTCTTCTTTCTTTCATGCGTTTGCGAATGGAAGGAGGAATAACAATTCTATCAAGCAAATGTTGAATGAAGAAGGGGAATTAACTGAAGATCCAGCGAGCATTAGAAGTATCTTCTATCAATTTTTCTGTAATAAATGGGAGTACAGAAATAGTGATTTGAATAATTGGCCTCTCAACAAAAATGTCCTGAAAACTGAAGATTGCAAAATGCTGGAATCGGTTTTTACTTTGGAAGAAGTGGAGAAAGTCATTAAAGAATTTGGCAACAACATTGCACCAGGTTTGGATGGAATTACTTATTCCTTTCTCAAAGCTTATTGGAAGATCATTGGGATGGATATTTGGAAAGCAATGCAACTCTATTTTACATCCGGGAAAATGTCTACTAGATGGAAAGAGACTCTAGTGATACTTATTCCCAATGTAAGTAATCTTCGGTCCCCTTCTAATTTCAAGCCTATTAGCCTTTGTATGTCTATATACAAAATTGATGCCAAAGTACTTCTAAACAGATTGAAGAAAGTGATTCATAACCTTGTTTCGGAGGAGCAAGTTGCTTTTATTGAGGGAAGGGCATTATCTGAACATGTGCTTCTTGTTCAAGAGATTTTAAATAAATTTAAAATATCCAAGTCTAAGAGGGGTTTGATGGCAATCAAACTAGACATGGAACAAGCATACGATAGTATGGCTTGGGATACCCTTAGTCAAATATTGGACTATTTTGGGTTTCCTAGAAAATTCTCAAATCTCATTATGGATTGTGTTATTGATCCAGTTTTCTTCGTTCAAATTAATGGAGTGGAATTGGATA